AAGTCACCGACACCGAGCCCAGGGCGGCTGAGCGTTAGCAGGCCTGGTCCGAGTGAGCTGCCTGCGTGGCGCTACGTGGCGCAGTCGGCATGGCTTCCCACTCGCCGCTCCTCAGAGGAGGAGGAGGAGGAGGAGGAGGAGGAGGAGGAGGAGCAGGAGGAGGAGGAAGAGGAGGAGGAGGAGGAGGAGCAGGAGGAGGAGGAGGAGGAGCAGGAGGAGGAGGAGGAGCAGGAGGAGGAGCAGGAGGAGGAGAAGGAGGAGGAGGAGCAGGAGGAGGAGGAGCCAAATGAGTTCGCAAGGTCGAGCGGATCAGAGGGTCCGACCTATTCCCACCCTCCGCTCGACAACATAGGGCTGATCTTGGAATTGGATCGCGCTCCCGGCCAGAAAACGGAAGGCGCTCGCGCGCGGTCCCGTTTCCGACGACGTGGCGAAAAGAACAACGCGGACATCGCAGGGGCGGAAGCGGCAAAACTTCCGATGGGCGCGGCGAAGACGAAGCATGCACCGCGCTGACACAGCACTGCCACTTTCACTCACATAATGCGCGGCGCTTGGGCGAGGTCAGCATTTCGCCCGCTCTCACGCGGCCTGGAGAAACACCTCCAAGCGGGGAGCGTTAGGGGGGTGACGGGCTCAAGGGGGGAACGTCGACCTGGAATCGGAGATAACATCGCCGATAAATCAGCGACAGGCCCCCGATAGCGAATCCGGACGGTCCTGGGCGGGGTGGGCTATCAGGCCCCTGATATTGGCAATGCGTGGACGATTGGAGCTCGATGCGTCCCTCCCCTGAGCTCATCCCCCCCCAAACGTTGCCCCCTAGCCTTCGGGTCATAACTCGGCTCTCTGGCGGCCGTTCAGGACGATCCCGGCACCCCCCGAACGCTCCTGGCGAGGCGCAGCAGCTGGAAAGCGTCCCGAGGGTGGGAAACCACAGGGAACCGACGAAAACCAAAGAAAACATCTCCGACCTCGAAGCTGAGCCTAGATTTTCTCCTGAGCCCTTCTCCCCTCACGTTGCCCCTGACTGAACCAAGCGAGCCCCCCCCCCCCCCCGCGGGACGGTCATGAACATCAGCGGTGGCGACCGCGATAGCCGCCGCAAGGTGCGCGTCTGTGCCGACGCCTCCCGGCGCTTGTCTGCCGCCAGCACACTGCTCCTCTTCCTCCTGCTCCTCGCGCGCTCCTCGCGCGCCCTGCAGGCTTGGTGAGTTTTTGCCCCCCCCTCGATACTCAAGGAGGGAGATTCCTGCAAGTTTCCTTGAGAGCAGAAAATCCATCCTCATAAGAAGCACCCCGACATGCGAAGCCGCTTAGCAAAGGCACTCAGGAAAAGAATCGAACAGGACAGGGCTGTTTCGTAAACGCCCAGGTCATTGTAATAAGCTCCAATTATGGGGTTTGTGGCGAGGCCCGCAAGGAAGCCTGGACTCCGCGCAAGCCCGGACTCACCTGCACGCTTTTTCGGCCCAGCGCCGTTGCAACAGGCGGCGGGGGCGGGGGGGGAGGCGATATGCTGGGCGTCAAGTGATGGGGGGTTGAAAAAAGGAGAGGAACGTGCACCTTTCGTACCCCTTGTGGGTCCGAGGGACCCCCTTCAGGGCACAAAAGGTGCAGCGCATCCCCGTTACTCGACGCCCGATATGCCAGGCAAGCAAACCTGCTGGAGCCTAAAACAAAAATCCTCTAACCAAAAGAAGTGGGACACTCAGAAGCCCTCCCCGGCTTCTGACAGCCCAGACCTCCAAACTCGTGATTGTTTATTCGACAGCGTGGCCCGCCAGCAATTTCGACCACGTCCCCAGGCAGGGCTTGTCATCCTCTTGACAGTTCTGGGGCTCGGGGAAGGCGGCCGACAACAATCAGAGACCTGTCGTCGAAGTTTTTCACGACGCGAGGGGTGAGCATGCTACGCATGGAATGAATTCAATGGAAATAAATCGCAGTGGATCCGTGAGTGGATCAATCTAAACTGATGAGGCTATGATGCCTCTTTTGATTTTGAGCCGGCTATGATGCCCGCTCGTGCCCACCCCGTCCCGTCTTCAGGGGCTTCGCATCCTCCTATGATGGTAAGATGGGAAGACGGGCCGCCGCCCCTGGCACTGCACGTACGGCGCCAGGTTTGTGGGGATTTGGTTCGACCCCCGCAGTTCCGGTGATGGAAACTGCAAGGGGTGTGAGGCCTCATGGTGGTCCTCACTGGTAAGGCCTATGATGGTCCTCACCAGGGGGGGGGGGAGGGCAAGGGCGGACCAGGAGGAGGAGGACAGGGAGGAAGAGGAGGACGATGACGAGACAGTTGAGTTCAATGAACAGATTGAGCGCGAAGGCCTATGATGGTCCTTCTTCCCAAAACGAGCCTTGCTGATGGCCCCGAATTGGGTGCGAGGTGCCTATGATGGCCCCTCTGGTTGCCTATGATGGCGGCACTAGACGACCGGCAGGGGACTGGGTCCCGTTCACGGTCCATTAGGGGTGAGCATGCTACGCATGGAATGAATTCCATGGAAATAAATCGCAGTGGATCCGTGAGTGGATCAATCTAGACTGATGAGGCTATGATGCCTCTTTTGATTTTGAGCCGGCTATGATGCCCGCTCGTGCCCACCCCGTCCCGTCTTCAGGGACTTCGCATCCTCCTATGATGGTAAGATGGGAAGACGGGCCGCCGCCCCTGGCACTGCACGTACGGCGCCAGGTTTGTGGGGATTTGGTTCGACCCCCGCAGTTCCGGTGATGGAAACTGCAAGGGGTGTGAGGCCTCATGGTGGTCCTCACTGGTAAGGCCTATGATGGAAGCCTTCTTGGAAGCTCCCCGACCCTCCTGCTTGGATCACCGCGCGGGGTACCCAGGAGATAGGGTAGGCACAAGTGGATGCTAAGGTGGATTCTATCTGGTGGAGCCTAGCATGCAAGTGGGCCCCAAGTGCACTACGTGGCTTGGGTGGGTTTGATAATTCTGCTAACTGGGCGGAGCCCACTTAGCCCCGATCTTCATCCACCCCCAAATCACTCAGGGCGCTTCTAACACGTTCAGCTATCCTAGGCCATTTATCCGCCGACCCCCGCTTGCTGGGGGTGAAGCGGCGTGTGAGACATTTGGCTGTCCCCCTCACCCTTTCCCCCTCCCGAGCGGTTCAGAATCCTGTTTAAGGGTGGGGGCTGGGGGCGAGGGATGGGGGTACGAGCTCTTCAACGCACTCAGGCGGTTCTCCGGAGCCTCCAGAGAGGCCCAAAACGGCCCAAGAGGGCTGCCCAAGCATAGCGCCGAGACAGTCCAAGAGAGCGTTCTAGGGTAATCCCACGACGGTCCAAGATGGCTTCAAAACAACCCACAAGGCCCTCAGGACGGCCCAAGAATGCTCCCACAAGGCAGCCGAGAGAAGAGGGGCATAAAACGCAAAAATCATGCCAGTCCCATGGGAAAGCGTACGTTTTCGACAGCGTCCGATATACGGTCCAAGGGGCCCAAAAGATCGCCTCAAGACGGCCCATGAGGCCCGAAAGGCCCAGAAGGAAACTGACATCTCGAGCCTTTCCCCCCGTCATGGTAGCAGACGCCCCCCCATGGACCCCCGAGGCGCCCCTCAGAGGTCCCCAAGACGCGCCAAAAGCCAACCAGATGCCCCCGAAAGCCCTCTCTAATCCCCAGAGGCTCCCAGAGACCTCACAGCAGCCCTCAAGTTGCCCCGTGACAAACCCCGACAGCCCCCGTTGCACCCCTAAATATCTTCCTTCCTACCTCCGTCCTCCTTCCCACAACCGCTCCTCCTCCTCCTCCTCCTTATCCTCCTCCTCTTCTCGCTCTTCCTCCTCCTCCTCCTCATCCTTTTCCTGCACCCTCGGGGGGCGTGAACAAAAACACCCAGCCACTTCAGCTCCAACGTAGCCTGCCGAACTCCTTGGTCGTCTCTACTCCGCTGGGGGTCGTCGGCGGAGTGGCGCAAGCCGCTTCAATAACCCACCACGGCATGCACTCAGGACCCCCTGATCACCCTATGATGCGGAGAAACAATAAACACTCCACCGCCCCCCTCCAAACTCACAGTTTGCACGCGCGGGGGAGATGCGGTCGAAAAGCAACTCATCAGACCAATCGGCAAACTTTGAACATTGGGGGGGATGGGGAGGCGTTGACCAGTGAATGTGGCAAGCGTGTTCGTCATTTTTCCGAGGCCTGGAGAAACTGCATAAGCATGATTCCTCGAAGGTCTGCGCTGACATCTTGGATCGGCGCTGGACCCCCCTCCGTGGCGCGCGGAGCGCGCCACAGGCGGCGCCAGAGGCGCCGCCAGGGGCACCCCACGCCGATCCACGAAATCTGAGCAGACCTCCGAGAAACTACGTCAATGCACATGTTTGTTTTCCCTCGATGGAGATCCCTGGAAGTCTCAGGAGGTACTGGTGCACTTGGCTCCTCTGGCTCGATCCTTCGACGCGCGGAAGCCGCCCGAGGCCTCCTCGTGTCGAAGCCGCGGACGTGTCTGCGCACGTGCGCAGAGACGGCCGCGGCTTCGACACCCTCATCCTCCTCTTTCTCTGCGCATGATCGCCCACGCACCCATGGTGTGAAGAGTGCTGACCAATCGGAGAGTTATTTAAGCCAAGCCTCCAGCCATCGCCAACGAACCCTCCATCAACCTTGGTCAAACCTGACCGGTCCTCCCCGTCAAACCTCCTCCGGTAATTTGGTGTGCGAGATAAAGTTCCATGAGCACATGTATGCAGACGCACATGTGCTTCAGTCCAACTGGCGTAGGCCTCAGAGCTGGTGCGCACGCCCACGTGTGCACGCGAACCTGAGGCACCCTGTTGTAATCATCACACCTTCGAGGAGGAACCTGCGTCATCATTCTGCATGTCGGGTGTTGTCCTGGCTCTGCCGTGCTTGCTGTCTCGTTCGTCCCCGTTCCAAGGCACTTCTCCCACGAAGAACGAAGGGTGTGAAAATGACACCGAGCAAGTATTGCACGTGGCATGGATGGATGGGTGCTTCAATCGTCGGCTGCCTCCTCTTTCCACTGTACGAAATCGATGCCCTTTCGGAGATCGCCGCACAGCAGGAAGTTCTTGATGCTGCTCATGGAGGTCAAGCACATCTGGCCGTCGAAAAGCGCCACCTGAACAAGCAATGTCAAATGCTTGCTGCATGCTTATCGCCTGACCATTGGGCGCCCGAGTTATCCGGGGTAACTCGGGTCCGGGGTAACTCGGGCTTGGACTCCCGAAAAACGAACCCGAGTTATCCCTGACCCGAGTTACCCCTGATGATTCTGGGGCTCTGGACGCCCGAATTATCCGGGGTAACTCGGGTCCGGGGTAACTCGGGTCTGGATTCCCGAAAAAGGAACCCGAGTTATCCCTGACCCGAGTTACCCCTGATGATTCGGGGCTCTGAGACCATGTACTCACACACGCTGGCTCCACCGCAGCAGCTACGGCGCGCGTTTCCTTCTGCTGCGATCCTCGTCGGCTCAGCGAAAAGGGGCGCGGACGGGTGGCACCTGGGCCAATGACCAAAGGCAGCCGTGGCCTCCCGCCCGTGGGGCAAATCAGGGCACCAAGCGCATGGCGGAGGCCCGACACCTGCGGGCAGGCGAAGCCGACGCAAAATCCAGAGTCGAACATCTCTCAGAACCCAGGCCTCCGACAGCGTGACTTTCGCACGATCGAGTGTGGCTAAACATGGTCCTGGCCATGGGTGCTCCCAGCTGCCCAGCCTGCCGTGCATCTTGAAGCCTCTGGGGCCCCTGGGCCTTGTCGAAGGGTGCTCCGGAAGCCGCCTGCTGGGAAGAAAAGCCGTGGCCACACTATGGGGCGACCTCTGGCCACACCCGGAACGGCGAGAGCCCCGAGGCCCTCGACTCCACCCCGGGAGCTGCTGCTTCGCAGTGCGGGTGGCCCTCTGATGGCCCCGTGGGGGCCGGGCACGGGCCCCGCGAGGTGCCGAAATTGCCTAAGCGTGTCCGTGCCAGAACGACATGTTGCCCCGGTGCCAGAAAGCAGCCCGCTAGAACTCACCGGTAACCGCAGTGTGGTCGCGCACGCACCAGAAGAGGGAGCCGGAGGAACCACCACGGAGGCTGGCTTTTCGTCCGATTATGCCGTCCTCGCGGCCCCCAGTGGCATTCGATGGGCCCTTGCGGCCAGGGAAGAGGCCCTTACCTAAACCCCCGACGCCATGACTTGCCCAAGACGTGGGCCCCCAGAGGTCTGGGCGCACTCCCCAGGACCAGTGTTTCATCCTGCGTTGTTTCTGCGACGGCCCGGGGGCCCGGCGAGGGCCCCCCAGAGCCCGGAAATAGCAGGACGCCCTGCCTCGTGGTTCCTTCCCGGCGCGAGGGGGTCTGGGTACGGATCCGCCGAAGGCGCTCGTGCCCTTCCCTGGAGAGGGGGCAGGGCGTCTTGGGGAGGCGGGCCCGCTTCCCTGCCTGGGCCGCAGCACTCCAGCCGCCACGCGCGGGGCGTCCGCACCCTGGGGAGGGACGACGACGACGACGACACGACGACGACAGGATGACGACCGACGGGATGACGACGGCCAACGCGACGCCCAAAAAGATCTGGCGGTGGGGGTGGACGATTGAAAAAAGAGTTTCGCCCCCGCCAGATGTTCTTCGTCGGCCCTGCACGATATAGGAAGGCGGCCCCCGGGTGGGGGGGATGGGGAGTCTTTTGTTGGAGCCTTGTTGAAGTTGCCGTTCTCCTTCTCCCACCGCTCGAAGAACAGCTTGTAGCCCTCCGAGTGCACCAGGAACTCGCCCCACTGGCTCACCACGGTGACCGGCGCCTGCGCCGAGCAGCCGCGGCTGCTCCTCCTCCTCCTCCTCCTCCTCCTCCTCCTCCTCCTCCTCCTCCTCCTCCTCCTCCTCCTCCTCTCCCCCCTCCCCCCTCCCCCTCCCTCCTCCCCTCACCTCCTCCTCCCTCCTCCTCCTCCTCCTCCTCCTCCTCCTCCTCCTCCCCACTGGCTCACCACGGTGACCGGCGCCTCTGCGCCGAGCGGCAAGCGGCTGCCGGAAACGCCAGCTCCGACCCTGCCCACGGCTCGCCGCAGGCCGCTTGTGCTTGTTGTTTGTTATCCACGCCTACTTTCTCCTCCTCCTCCTCCTCCTCCTCCTCCTCGTCCTCCTCTCCTCCTCCTCCTCCTCCTCCTCCTCCTCTGTGTCGGCGGCTTTTCGATTCTGCCCTTGTCTTGCTGCCCCGCCCTCCCTCCCCCCCCCCCGCTACCTACCAGACCACCCCAACCCAACCCGAAGACCCCAATTTCGGGTTGGGGGGGGTGGGTGGGTTCCATACGTGTTTTTTCGACGTTCCCCGACCCCCCCCCACTGGAAATTGACGTCAATTTGAGGCCTTCGGGTTGGGTTGGGGTGGTTTGGTGGGTGGTGATACTTTGGTTCGCGCACACCCCGGTTCAGCCGCGCGCCACCGCTGGAGGAGTGAGCCGGGAAGCGTCATATGCGGTCGGCCCGTATCATAAGGATGCGCGATAAAGATACAGGGGCCGTGGACGCCCATTTCGAAACTTTTCGAGCGGGGCGCGGCCAGCGAGAGTGGCCAAAGATGGGCCGAGGAAGCAAGGTTGCAAGGTTTACCCTTGGGAAGGTTGCCCATCCTTGCTGTGCGGGTTGACTGTATGACCCCATTTGCCCGCTCAGCTTCGACCGGAAGAGGTGCGCTCTCGACCCGCGGATCAAAAACTGTATGACCCCACTCGGGACGTTCGCACGGCGTTGCCCCGCACGCTTGGGCACGCCCTCACACGAAGCATGCCTCACGGGGGAGCTCCGCTCACGGCCCCTCCGCCCGTGCTCCCCCCGCCCCCGAGCGAGAGCGTGCCCTCGCATGATGTCGCCCTGCCCGTGCCGGCACATACTTCACACGGCTCGGGCCCCAGAGGGAGCTCCACTTGCGGCCCGAGCGAGGCCGTCCCGCCCAGCTCGGCACACCTTTCCCGCGGATCCCACCCCACATGGAGCACTGCCTGCTGCCCAAACGGGGATGTTCGCATGGCGTCCCCTCGCCCATTCCGGCACATCCTTCACACGGATCGTGCCCCATCGAGAATTCGAAGTGCCTTTGCGCGCTTGTTCCGCAGCCCCCTATTATCCGCACTGCCCCGCGGCGCGCTATGCTTGAAGAGAGGGCTACGCATTGCGCTATGCGCAGCTGCAGAGAAGTGAGCCCTTCGCCAGGCTAATTCATCTTGTTCCTCCTCCTCCTCCTCCTCCTCCTCCTCCTCCTCCTCCTCCCCTGTCTCTGCCTCACCCTTCCCGTTGCAGCAGAGTTGTCCTGAACTCGTCCATGTCCTTGTTTTCTTCTCCATTCGTCTCCCCTGTGCTGCTTCGCATGTTGATATTCCTTCCTCTGCCCCCACTCTGTGCCGCTGCTGAGCAATAGCCTTGATGGAGCGCTGGTACATTGCTGGCACGATGCCTGGCTCTCTGTCCTGTGGTGGGCGCGCGCTCTCTCTCTTTCTCTCTCTCTCTCTCTCTGTTTCTCTCTCTCTCTCTCTCTCTCTCCCTTTCCGCCCTCCCATTCACTCTACGTCTCCGTCTCTCTCTCTCTCACACTTTTCCTCTATGTCTCTCTTTTTTTTCTCTCGATCTCTCTCTCTCTCTCTCTCTCTCGCCACGTACCGTGTCGTCCACTCCGTCACACCCGTCGCGGCTGCGGGGTCTGAACGCGTAGTTAACCCTGTTTTACCACGCCTGCCCTGGCCTTACTGGTTCAGCATTCGTGGCGCAGGTCTCCGTAGCGCCCGAACGAACTCCGGTGCGTCTTTGTCTCTCTGTCTGTCTCTCTCTCTCTCTCCCTCCCTCCCTCCCCACTCCCATTCGGTTCTTTCCACTTGCCTTTCCCTTCGACCCTCCGTCCTAGCTTCCCCTTCCCCTCTGGTTGTTCCTTCCCTGACCCATCTCCCCTCCTGCCATGCTGTTTCCATGGCCTCCTCCCACCTTGTTTCACTACACGGCCACGTGTTGACTCTCATGTGACACCAACGGTCTCCGCGTGTAGCTCTGCCTGGCGCAAGCGCGCAAACCACTGGTCAAATGAACGACGAAAGGGAAACGGGTCTCACGCATGTGCGCGGTGGCTCACGCGGGTCGCCAGCGCGACCCCGCTACATTAGGGGCGAGGGTGCTTACGCGCGGCTTCGCGCAAACAGCTTGCGCGCGAATGTCCGCGCAATCGACCCCGTCTTCTCTGGACCGCCCAAGTTCTCTTCGAGTGCACGCGCGGACATGCACGCGCGGACACATATGACGTGGCACGTGGTGCACTCATGGGCCTGCTCGAGTCAGCATGACAGGCGCGCAACGGTTACAAGAAAATCTGCACGCGTGCACGCTTGCGCGCGTCCACGAAATTTGTTGCCATTCCTGTCGCGTTCGCGTTCGCGTTCGAGGGCGCACTTGCCTCCCCTCTGATGCAAACGAAGCTCTCGCAACGCGCGCATGCACACATTTTTTCTCGCGTCGCAGCTTGGCAGAAGCAGTCCGCGCGGGCGCTCAAAATAGTCGGGGGCGCTGACCAACTCATTGCCCGGGTGCAAGAGAAAAGGCGAGGGAGGACAGGGCGGCCGCGGAGGACAGGAAGAAGGGATAGGACACTCACGGCTGAAAGCGTTTCAAGATGAGCGCGCTGGCGCGGCCAACCGGGGCTGAAGTGACCTGGTAATGGACGCGGGACGGCATCACGATCACAGCCACAGGCCGAAGCCAGGGCTGCATGCTTCAGGAACGTGAAGAGCAAGGTGATCCAACACACCAAGAGCGGGAGCATCCATATGACCGTCACGTTGCCTGGAAGTCTAGGTTTTGCTGCAAAGGGCTTGCGCCAGCTCGGCGCGGGACCAGGATGGCCAAGGCGCAAACACAAAACCGCACGGGGCTGCACCGCACGGGCTGCAGAAAAATGTTGTCTGTAACATCGCGCACGCACAAAAATGCGATGCCTGTGTTGTAACTATCCCGTGTTATCCTCCTCCTCCTCCTTCTCCTCTGTGTCCTCCTCTCCCTTTGTCGCTTCCTTCGAAAGCAACGCACGGAAAATGTTGGACGTCCATTTGGCGCCCAACACTGTCACCTTGCGATTCTGTGATTCACAAAAACAAGCACACCCCTAGATGGCCTAAAAACCTCGCCCAGACATGCATATCCAGCGAAGCTGTGCGATATAGTTTGGATCACCTTTCACGCGCACTCTCTGACAAGGTAATCCAATCGAAGCTCAGGCCTGAGACGAGATAATTTGTCGAACATCGTCGGGCTGTCATCTTGGACGGCCCCTCTTTCGCCCAGCGGAAAAGGCAATGAATTACGAGCGAGGCATGCCGAGCTCGAGGGTGGCTGAGGGCGGGCAGACTTTGAGCCACCGCAGTTGCGGAGGGTCAGCATTTACACGCACGGGCGAGGAGGGGCCTGTTGGGGTATTCACGTCTACGACTATACACAGCCCTAGATGGCCTAAAAACCTCGCCCAGACATGCATATCCAGCGAAGCTGTGCGATATAGTTTGGATCACCTTTCACGCGCACTCTCTGACAAGGTAATCCAATCGAAGCTCAGGCCTGAGACGAGATAATTTGTCGAACATCGTCGGGCTGTCATCTTGGACGGCCCCTCTTTCGCCCATACCCATATCATGAACTGGTGGCCGCTACTTTTCACGAATCTTCTGAAGGAGGACCTGCGGCAGGCGCCTGCTGCGCTCCGCCGCCTTCTTCTGCCTGGCCAAGGGAACCTTGCGCAACTGCTGCAAGATCAGGGCCCCCTTCTCGTAGCGAGCCACCGATGCGGACGATGCCCATCGCCCGCGCTTCTGAACCTCTTTCAACGTCCTCCGGGAGTGCAGTGCGCTTTGTCGTTGCTGGCGCCTGAGTGCCGGAAGACGCGCGGGCACACGCCCAGGGAGGTGTAGCCCAGGCGGCAGGCCGACTTCTTCACCTCGCGCTCGTAGTCGCCGAGGGTGAAGTCGAAGATTTTCTTCTTGTCCGACACGTTGGGCTTGTGGAGCAGCCGCAGCACGCTCGTGAGCCAGGGCCTCGCCACGTCGCCCACGAGTAGGCTGTCGTCCTGACCGCCCGTCTTCGTGGTCTCGTGCCACTCCGAGGGCGCGATGACGATGCCATAGTGCGCGCCGAGCTTCGCGACCGGCGCCGGCGGCAAGATCTGGCCCTGCCTCAGGCCCACCACCTCGGAGGGCCGCGTGTAGGTGTCTGTCTGGATCACCACCGCGGCCCCCATCAGGGGGTTCCCGTGCTCCACCAGGTCCGGCGCGATGTCGTCCACGATGATGTCGGGCAGCGGCAGACGCATCCTCCCGGGCGCCCGCTTCGTCCAACCCTTCAGGGAGGCCAGCGCCTTCGGGAGGTCGACCTTGCCCGTCGTCCGGAGCCTCAGCAGCTTGTGCCCGTAGAAGGCGTTGCGCCCCTCCCAGACCCCGAAGCCGTCGTCGAACAGGTCCACGAAGTAGAGGGAGAGGCTGTCGTCCAGGCGTGCTAGCGGCTGCAGCGGCAGGCGCCTCTCCTTCGCGTAGGTCTCGAACTCGTGGACTGCCGTCGCGTACCTCTCCAGCGTGCCACCGGTCACCGTCGCCATGATCAGCGAGTCCCTCCGCGGGACGGTGATGGGGCCTGCCCGCCGGGGGCCTGTGGGCTGCCGCGGTCGGCCCTTCCCCGGTGGCGGCTGCCGCCCAGTCCGGGTGGGCCCTCCAGCGCCGGGGCCGCTCGTCCTGGCCGAACTGGATGATCGGGTCGTGCTCGAGGAACGAGTCGGCGGCCTGGCAGGCTGGCTCACGGGGTTCATCGACCTCACCGTGAACCGATGCTCCTCGAGCCGCCGGGCGACGGCCCGCGGCCCGCCGGAGGCCATGGCGGACCTCGCTGGGGTCGAAGGCTCGCTGGCCCGGGCGTATGTCGCCCGGCAAGGCCGAAGAAAGGAGCCTGGCCCAACACGAGCCCAAAGCCGGCGGGTAGGCGGCGGCAAGTGGTGTGAGATGACCGTGTAGCAAGACCGAGTGTTTATGTCGGGTGCGAGGTCGATCTCCCAGGGACTGTAACGCTCTCAGGTTTGTCAGGATTCGGGTAGGTTTTCCGATAGGCCGTGCCATACATGCTCATATCGAAGTTTACCTCGACGACGTTCGCGAGTCCATGAAGGCGAGCGATCGGGTCGAAGCTCCAGAGTCTCGAAGTCCGGGGGTTTTCCACACTCCAATAACACCCACGACGTGATAAGATGTGACATAACGTAGCCGTAAACAGTGCGAACTCGATGCCTAGACGTTCCCGGGCCCTGGCTCGAACATGGTTTCGGATCCCCCTCCGAGCGATACTCCAAACCTGACAAGGCGTTCCCAGGTGTACATATATCAAACGCCCTTCTCGGGCCAGCCTCAGGATATACTCTTGTGTACTGCGACGAGAGAGGTCAAATTCCCAGCCGTCTCTGATATCAACTGAATCCGCGAAGGGAAGCACCTCCGCCAGGCAGGCTCGAGTCAGCTCCCCCTTTCCGCCGAAGAGCTCCATGCAAAAAACTGATTTACCAGGCTCGCTCTGAATTGACGGGCGTACAACAGATGCTGAGGAAGCCGACGGAGGTGACCGAGAAGAGGAGGCGGTCGTGTAACTCGCAGCTGGAGCGGACAGGCTCGGGGCGGCGTCCCGACGCTCGGGCCCCCGGTTCAGCCCAGCCGGCTTCTTCAGGTCCCAGCGCCGGGAGTCCTCGTCACTCGGGTTACGGTCAGTCTCGATGTACCTGAGCCGCCAGGAGATCTGCCCCCCTAGGCGGTAGGCGGCTGCGCGCCTGCAGAGGGCCTGCAGGCCCGCGCTGGAGCGGCCCTTCTCGAAGGCCCCGACGGTGACCTGGCTGTCGCTGATCGAGAGCAGCTTTGTGCCCATGAACTTCACCGATCGGCAGTGCCGTCGGAGCCCCATCAAGGCGACCCTCGCCTCCTTGAGGTTGATGTGCTCGTCCTGCCAGCGCCAGCGGTCCGCGGCGACCAGCCTGTAGCGGCGCCTGGCCACCCAGCTGTCCCCCAAGGCGGGGATGCCCGAGTCAAGATGCAGCTGGGTGCGGCCTCGAGCCGGCTTCGCAGCGCGGCTTCGGGCCGGAGAGGGAGCCAGGCCGCTCGCCTCCTCCGGCGCCTCCGCCTGACTCAGCAGGGACTGGCCGAAGGCGGTCCTCGGGCCAGTGGCGGTGCCGGGCGCGCCGCCGCGCACGTAGTCGAGCCCGCTGCTGACGTGGCCTGTCACCGTCGGGACGTCGCGGTACCGCCAGCGTTCTCTCCACTTCCAGGCTTCTCGGAGCTCGGTCGGCTCGGCGGTCGTCACGTGGAGTGCGTAGCCGCGGACGGACGAGTCCCCGCAGTACACCTGGTCCGAGTAGGTCGCGCCCAAGTCCGCCTCCATCAGGAAGAGCAAGTTCATCGAGCAGCGGATCTCGGACTTTACGGAGGGCCAGACCCGCTCGGGCGACTCCAGCGACTCCTCGATGAAGCGGTAGCAGGCGTTCAGCGCGGACATCGCCTCGGGGCAGAGCTGGTTCAGGTTCACGACGTGCCCCAGCCAGCACTGGAGCGTGTGCCCGTGGAGCTTGCGGCGCCTCAAAAGGGCGTGTCCGGCCATATAGGTCCGCCAGACGCGCCGAGCCACGTGCCTCAGGCGACGCTCCTGCCAGTGGTACACCAGGCCGAGGGACTGCATCTCCAAGCTGTTCCCCGGCTCCACGTCGAAAGGTATGCGGTCCTCTCGAAAAAGATTCTCGATTTTATGCATCTGAGTGTTGGCGTCAGCCTCGCAGCCACCGATCACCTGCACGTTGTCCACGTACACACCGGCGACGCACTTGCCGGGCTCGATGGTCGGGGCAGGCTGCATCTCCCTCATCACCTTCTCGGCCCCGTCGGGCAGCGCTCGCTGGACTCGGTAGGTCACGGCCTCGTTGGCGAAGTAGAGCGCCCAGGACCAGCCCATGCACACCGCGCACATGCAGGGGTAGAGCTGCTCGCCGTCCACGACCTTGGTCTCGGCCCCCTCGGCGTCGTCCCAGATCGAGTCCGGCAGGCAGCCCATCTCCGTTAGCTCGCGGGTGTCGAACCGGTCTGCGAAGCCGAACCAGCTCGCCAGCTCGGGGATGGTGAAGTTGTAGAAACAGTCTCCGACGTCCCCCTCGCGGCCAGCTGGGCTGAAGGCCCCGGATCCGAGGCCCCCGAAGCCCGATGCCTTCAGGCGGGGGTCGGAGAGGTCGAGGTCGGCCATGCATCGCGAGGAGCCTAGCCGAGTAGTGGGAGGTGGCCGATGCGCCCGATTGGCCGCTCGGGCGTCGATGATCAACCTCTGGAGCCCATCCTTTTTCTTGACCACGAAGATGCCCGCATGCCCCTTCAGCCGCCGACGCCAAGTCAGCAGGCCCTGCTGGTCCAGGCGCTGGTACAGTCGCTTCCGAAGGTCTCGCGAGCGCCGGAGGAGGGGGTCCCAGTACGGCGTGACGCCCACTCCCTCGGCTCGATCTCTCTCAAGCCCCGCTTCGTCCATCTCGATCAAGTCGGAAGCGTGCCGAAGGTAGCCAGCGTCCGACGCGGGCAACTCCCGGCGTATCGGCCGAACGTGGACCTTCCTGCGCAGGATCTTGACCTTGTCGAAGTCGAAGCTGGCCAAGCTCTTGGGCTCCATCCCGTAGTGGTCTCTTGAGTCGAGGATCTCGTGCAACGATGACTCCTCTGTGAGGTCAGTGGGGCAATCCCCATACGCCAGTACACGCCGGGCGACATTCTGGATCATCCACTGCTGCACGGCGGTCGGCCGGAGGTGCCCTTCTGGTGCGCGGTCGTGCCCCTGGGCGCGACGTGAATTCACGTTGGCGGCGGCAAGCTGGTTCAGGGCCCGAACCGTGTCAAAAACTTGCCGTTGCCGCGCAGAGCTGCATGCAGAGCCGAGGCCACTCGGATCGCAGGGCAGAGGAAAGGGGTCTCCATGCCGTCGATCTCGTGACCGGATCCCTCCAGGAATAGAGGGGGCTAGCCCACGTCTGTGTCGGCCGTGGGGGGGCTCTCTCGGCGCCCGGGCTGCCAGCGCCGGCCCCCCCACAGCCCCGAGAGGCGTCGTCCTCCCTCGCCGGCGCCCTCGGCGCCGGCCTTGCCCCCTCTCTTCTTCAGCTTCTTCTTGGTCGGGTCGTAGCCGTCGCCGCCCTTGCCCTCCTTCAGGTTCGTCTTCTGCTCCTCCCGGTACAGGCGCTCCTGCTTCCAGATCTGCGCCCTCTCCTTGAGCTTGTCAGTGACCCAGGAGTTGAACTTGTTCGTCGTCGCGCGGCCCGCAGCATTCACCGGGGCCGAGATCACTATGTCCCGCCCGCTGTAGTCCGGGTGGCGCGGGTTGCGCTCTACCGCTATCTCCGTCTGAACCAGCCAGCGCACGATCAGCTCCGCGGAGGCCAGCATGGAGGCGTCGACCTGATCCCAGGAGTGCATGAGCCGAATCACCTCGCACAGGTTGCGGTGCACATGGTTGACTGCCGAACCCTCACCGACCCCGCTGAGCCGCTCCCACTCCGCCTGGTACGACGTCATGTTGCCAGGCCCCGAGGCCACCGACTCGAGGAACTCCTTCACGCTCCTCACGCCGGCGAGCGGGAAGTTCGGCTGATCCGTGTCTCTCATCAGCGCGACCGCCTCCGAGAGCCTCAGACAGCGCTGCCCAGCATCGTCGAGGTGGTCCCCGAGAGTGCGCACGTCCCCGAGGTCCGCCTTGGTCTCCTTCTTGAAGTCGTCGAGCTTGCTGGCCGCGATCTCCTGCACGAAGATCTCCTCTCCGTCCACGACCGCCACCCCCTTCGTGTCGAAGCCCGTGCCGCGGGCGTCGTCGTCCATGACTTGCCAAATCTAATCGAGGTTTTTTGGGGTTTTTCTTTAGGCCCACAGCAACGAGCCCCTGCGTGAACTTTCGCACCAGGAAAAACTAGTGGTGGTGGCGCGAAAATTAAGACAAAGCTGGCGCTCTTGTTCGTCCCTCCTCCTCCTCCTCCTCCTCCTCCTCGTCCTCGTCCTCCTCCTCCTCCTCCTCCTCCTCCTCCTCCTCCTCCCCCTCCTCCTCCTCCTCTTCCTCCTCCTCCTCCTCCTCGATGGGGGGATGTGGACAAGCACGTGCATGCCTAGATTACCCGCCCATGGGCTACAAACCCTTGTCGTTGTTTCAATGTCGCCTGGGTCAGCCTCGCGGATAGCATCACGTTGCTTATTGTTTCGCATTACTATCGACATCGCCAGTGTTTTGTCCCGTAGTCTCTCCAGGCTCAAAGGCTTGGCTGATTCGGCCACAGCACATTGGATGTTGGCACTGGCTGCTTCGGCCAGAGTCCAATGCTCATTGGCCTGGACATCGGAGACTGCATTTCAAGGCGCGCTCCTCCAGGCCAACCGAAGCCCGAGAAGCCAGGCCATTGGAACACACGGGAAACATACGACTTTGATACAGAAGAGGGGGAGGTGGAGGACGAAGCGAAGGATGAGGAGGTGCTCCTCGTCCTTCTTTTCGCTACAAACTCCCAGGCGAATTCTACAGCGAGGTCGTGCCAGGATTTTTCCAGTTCATTGTGCTGTTCTCCCTGGCGTACGGCGCCGGCGCAATCCACCTCATCAGCAGGACCACTAAGGGCGAGCGATTGGTCCCGAACAACAGATGGGGCTCGGTGGCCAGGGCATGGTGATGGCAGGGATAGATGGGGCCCAAACAAGACTTGTCTAGGATTGGGCCCTTATTCCCTGTGCCAGCACCATCAGGTGGAGGCATGGGTCATTCGCTTCGCCCGCGAGTGCGGCCTGGCCCAGATGAGCACCCCGAGCTCTCAATGGGATATCTCGACCCATGTGCACGTGTGCGCAGAAACATGGGGCCACCGGGGAAAAGGCCCCATTGCCAAAGAGTTGGGTCTGACGCACTTCGTGGACAACACGGCGGACTGCATCTGGAGCGTGCTCTACGATTCGGCTGGCAACGCGAGCGCCACCATGCAGGTGCACGCCGATTGGAAACGCATGTGTGTTACATAACAAGATGACAAGTTTTTGGTGGGAAGAGATTTTCAATATGTGTTTTGGTCCTCCGAGGCTGCCGTCCACTTCACGGGGCTCAATCCCGTCGGGAACGTCTCCCAATTCTCTCCGTGCTGCTCCGTGCAATCTTGGCGAGAGCTTGCCGTTATGCTGGAGTTGCCCTACGTTGACAAGGCCAGGCGGGCTGACCTTTGCAACCCTAGACGTAATCAAACCGACGGCGCTACTTGGCGATCGTCAGTCTGAGGTCGAATAGGGCGTGCGGGCCAGCTCTCCAGAGGCATGGGACATGCTGGACCCCATGGGGCCGCCCAAGATGCGCAGCATCAACATGCTGCCAGATCTACTGAGCCATCTCAAGCACCATATCGTCCAGGAGTTCGGCCACATCACGTACCACGGGGGCCTCTTGCTCAATGCCATGTTGTGGCCCTTCCCTTCTTCTGGGAAGCGCGGGCGTTCCAATGCGCAGGCGGTCAGTGGGTCATCAGCGGCATCTCCAACAACGCATGGAGACACCAATTCAGCGTCCAGTGTGCCAACGGCGCCTACTACTCAGCCGTCAGAGCCTACTGAGCAGGCAAGCCAATCGGCTGATTCGGCCAAGGACGACACGAGTCAGCAATGGTCCAAGTGGCGCACGGCTGGCACGTGCAGCGCTAACTGGCACGACAAGAAGATGCAGCGAGCCGTTGCGCACCGGGTCCGAATTGAGTCCGGCTCTCCCGCGGCGCGGAAGTACATCCAGCTACCCATGTGCAGCGGCTGTGGGCGCAATCAGCCAGCAACAACATGCTGGCGGGTTTTCTGCCGCCCTTGCTGCGTTGATGCAGGCGGCTGCGACGTGCACTGGTGACTCGGCCACGCTACTGGAATGATCGCGCCAACCCAATCCGTCTTCGTCATCCGATCAGCCCCACCTCGCCATTCATGCCATCAACACCACTAGCAACTAGCCTAGCACGGTTCGACAAACCTGGGGGTAAGTTGTGAGGAAGTCTCACGCGGATTAGCAAAGGTACAATCGCCGTATGAATAACAGAAGTAGTAGCACTGCCAATAAAAGTAGCGGCCAAGGGCATGATTGTCAAACGGTGTTTCTCTGCTTGGACTGCGCCCAGAGACCCCAGATCAGACTGCCTCCGTTCCGTTCCTTTCCACCTCATGTTTTCAAACAGGTTTTACTGGCTCAAGCTGTTTCGGCCTTTGCCGTCTACCTCGTACCTGCGCTGCTGGCTGTTTCGGCCATGGGCAAGCGCCCGCCGCCTAAGTCTTCTCCGGGCTCCTCCGCGAAGGCTCCCAGACGCCAATTGAAGGCAAAGACCCCCGATGCGCAGGTTGATGCCGCGCAGAAGAGCGCGGATCAGAAGCTCCAGGATGACAACATGTGCGTTAAGGTCTTGGCCCAGGTCCACGACGCCTTGGAGACGATCAACAAAGACGCCATCTTCGCGGGCGTGATGGACATGGAGCCCCTCAGGATCGGTGACGGCGGCATGCAAGCGCCGTTCAGCCAGGAAGAGTTCAACAACGTCCTCAGCACCCCTCCAGAGACCAACTCCACTGATCACTTCTACCTCTGTGGCGGAAATTTTCTATGGCAAAGTTTTACTTGGTTGGTGAACCACAGAGTTCCAATAAACCATGGACAAATTGCCGAACTCCAGCGCTTCAGTTACAAGCACGACGACCCACCCAACAGGCTGGAGTTCAATGTCGCGGTGTGCGTGGACTCAGCAAACACAGACGTCCTGAGCCACAAGGGCGCGATGATGCGACTTTCATCGCCCGAACCTGTCTTCGCTGTCTTGTTCTCCATTGCCAAGGCGATCCAGGAGGGCGTGGACGAAAAGATCCGCATGCGCTGGCGGAAGGTCTTACTCACGGCCCCCTTCCAATTTGAGGTCGTTCCTGAAGGGGAGGAAAGGTTCTGGCGCTCACAGAACCTGAGGCAACGCCTCATCGAGGCGGGGGTGGTGTCCCACATGTCATGCAGGCAGTGGGTGTACGACATCATGGGGTTCAAGGCCGCCAAGGAAAGGGAGCTGCAGAAGTCCATTAGCTCGCTGGTGCTTGCAAAAATGTACAACGCGAAGATCACGTTCGCCGGCGCCGCTAACAAGATCACCATCAGCGACAGCTTCATTGACAGCGCTGCGACGGTGTTCGAGCGTGTCTTGTCCCAGGAGACGGCCAGGCACTGGCTGGAGTGGGCAGAGGAAAAAATGCTCGGCGAATGCCCCTTCAAGACGATCGCTGCGCTCCAAGCTCTCGTGGATCGGGCTCGGAGCCCAGTGTATATCTCGTGGGCGGTCTGGGGCATCACAGATCTGTGGAGGATGGAGCTCATCACGCTCGGGGATTTGTCAGGCAAGAAGATGAAGGACTACCGAACGTCCTACATTGAGGTTCTGAACCTCAAGTTCGACATGAAGCAGTATTGCCTTTACACGTGGCTTCCCACCCTGGGCCTGAAGGTCGAGCAGGTCCATAAATTGCAGGAGGTGTTTGAGGACTTCGGGAGCGTGCGGGCCAAGATGTCTGCCTACCCTGGAGAAGTTGCGGACACCACGTGGCTTGTGGTTTGGCGGTCCGAGGGCCTGAACAAAATTGCCGACATCCTGGAGGACTTCATCTACACCGTGAACTGGGACATGCGCTACAAAGATGCAGTTCGGTCGAAACATAAGATTAACGAGTTCCTTGAGTACGACTCTGTCCAAGAGAAGCTCAACGAGATCAAAGTGGAGCTGGCAAAGGAGATGAGCGTCGCCATCGACTGCGCCCAGGGCAGCGCCGGGGGGGGCACGGCTGCTTCGGCCACCGCCACAGAGACCGCAAAACCAGAGGCGGCTCCTTCAGGCTTCGAGAGCTTGCCCGAGTCCGAGCAAGAGCAGTGGGTCAAGTACGCGAACAAGCTGTTAAGCACGTGCGTCGAACTGATCCCTGAACCTAAGACGGGCGCCGAGCTGGAGAACGCCCTCAAGGACTCCAAGCTGAACGAGATTCGGGGCGACCCGGTGGGCCTCGTCCTGTACTACTTCGACGTCAAGGGGCACGGTGAAAGCGAGCATAGGCCCGAGCTTCGCATTCCGTCGCTGCGGGAGCCTATCTACACGAAGATCGTCCGCGCCGTGCTCAAGGCCCGTGCGCCGCCAGGCGGACTGGGGCACATTCGAAACGGCGAGGTTGCGATCATCATGGATGGCGGTCGGAAAGGTAACAGCAACAAGCTCATAGCACCATGGAAGGAGAATACGTCCAAGGAGCAGCAGAAGAAGAAGAAGGAGGACGACGACGAGGACGAAGACGAAGAAGAGGATGACCAGGATGACGAGAAGGGGAGCGTCACCAGTTCCATCTTGCAGCTCGTGTACACAGAGGAGAGCCTCAAGGAACGGCGCCTTCGCAACAAGAGCTCGACAGGCTCCGTCCGCCAAACGGAGTGGGCGCACATGGTTTCGTCAAGCAAGATCTGCCTCCCTGAGCGTGCTCGCAAACACTTCCCAGGGACGACGGCGGGCGACACCATCGTCGGGATCACCAAGCCTGACTACAGCAGGGAGTGGCAGATCTCATGGAAAGTCAAGAAGGAGCTGCTGGGCAAGCGCAACATCATTCGCGTGGGTGGCAAGGCCAAGGGGGCCGACGACGGGGAGGGCACTGACAAGGCAGCAACTGCCAAATCAATTAGCTGCATTGGCACCGCCATGCCATAGGGGTCACGAGCTCGCCGTTCGGCTGACTCTGATGGCATGGCGGCTTGCCATCGCAATTAATGGATTTGGCTGTGCAGGCAGCGGAGCGTCGCACGGACG